GTATTGACTTTAATGTGAAACATTTTATGATAATTTAGAGCAACATATTATTTCCTCCTTCTGCTTAGAATATATGCGAAGTCATGAAGTTTAATCATCTGTCAATACGAAAAAACATTGTAATAATTATAAGAAATATATTGATTGAAATTACAAGTAGTATTGAACAAATTTACTTTCATTAAAGTTGAAAAATTCAGAACAAGCAATAAAATAATTAAAAAGATGTAATAAATATGAGTTAAGTTTCAAGAAATGAGTTAAAATTGTAGTTAAATTTATAAAGATGCCAACAATGATTACCATGGAGTGCCATATATTTGAATACCAAATAATTCCACTAAACTGTCTTCCAAATAAATTCCATTTTGTAATTTCTCTTTGGCGACTGATTTTTTTTGCGGAGGAAAAGTTTGCTTAATAAGTGATTCTTTCTTACGCGTATTTTCTAAAATAACAAACAAAGTTATACAAGGTCAAGTATAAAATTTTAAAAATATTATACTACTAAATATTGGATGAGGAATAAAAAAAGCAATGGAAAAAAGAAATGAGAATAACGATTTTGATAAATTATACAATAAAAAAGGTTGAAAGCTTCACAAATCTGAAAACTCAAGCAAATTTTTTACAAAAAAAAGAATTATTTAAGTCTTTGCAACAAAAAAACAGTTGCAATTATGAAAAATTTAAATACTTAATAAATACTTAAATTAAGAATTATTTTTCATATATAATACCAAAATCTGAAGAATGATACAGAATAAAAGCCTACCTGTTATTTTAGTTAAGCGATTATCGAATGTGCATTCATGATTTCCAGCGATAATAACTTTGAATGTATGCGAAAGTTGCTCTAAAGAAATGATCATAAAAATTTTGAACTGAAATTGTACCAATTTAAGTAATAAATTGTATACTTTTATAAATGATATGACGAATTTTGTATTATATTCATAATTTATACTTGTTTGATGTCAAATTGCAATTTCCTTTACTCGAATATTATCCTCCAAATTTAGGTGATTATTATATTAAAATGAAAATTGCTACTTTTCAACATATTTTGAAATAAATCTAAATGCTCTTACTAATTTTTATGAAAAACTTGAATTTTTTTTTCAGATTTTTCAAATGAATCAAAATTCTTTTCATGCCAAAATAGAAGTGCTAAATAAGCTTTGGTAACATGAATGCAAGAGAATAAGATAGAGAAGAAACTAAAAACTAAAATCAAGATAATGCAAAAATAAAACAATTTTGTGATGAATCAGAAGTAAACAAGCTGAAAAAAATATATATAAGAGCTTAAAATGGCATTCTAAAGTGATTTACCAGCTCTGTATTTAAATTTAATTTTTTTCACTCATATAAAACTAAACATTGGCTAACTGCTTTAAAAATATTAAGAAACCCGAGAAATAAAATTCAGAACTGCAAAAAAAGTATTAAAATGTGAAAGCTATTAGAAATGATAATTTAATTGTAATTGTAGATTTTTACATATTCAGTTTGAATAATCAGTTAAAAATTAGAAGTTTTGCAGTAGCTGAAAAAGTACTAAGGAGTATTCCAAACAAGCATAGCATTTATAAAGCACAAAGTAAATTTTTTAGAATTATAATGATCATCAAATCAAAGTTGCAGAACCAGTTCTACGCAAAAAAAAAAAAAAAAAAAA